AGGATGTTTAGCTATAAATAGTCCTATGTTACATTTATTGAGGGTTCGAAAAAATCTCCCTAACTCTCTAGAAATTCTCTCTCTACATTCATTTTAATAAACAATGATCATTCGTAATTAATTCGGGCATTTAAAGACTAGAGGCCAACTTCGAAGTTCTCAGAGGTCGACCTATCTCAAGTCCAAATTTCATACTTTCACTAGAAAATCCCCATTATCCCATGATATTATTTTTCTGATCCATACATAGTTCTTGATTGACCGTTGATACAAATCCACATATCAACAACATGTTCGAGGTCTATAAGAATTATGCACTTAGTATCACTAGCAAATTCAAATAAAATCTTAGGGAAGTACATTGAAAGATTGCTAAGACTATTCTTTAGTAAATTAGATGGACTAAAGAATATATGTTATTATATGGCGGGAATAATCATTTAATAGTTATACATTCATTTCAATGTGAGGCTACGAGTTGGAATCGTTCCAAGTAATAAAGTACTGCAGATTCAACCACTAAGGTCAAGTATGTTGTTGCATTAAAAGCCTATGGAGGTTGTCTAGATACATGAGTTCTGAAATGAACTAGGGGTAGTTCCAAGTGCCATTTATCTAATATATATATATCGTGAAAGAATCGGCACGACTGCACGGGCAAAAGAACCAAGACCCAACAACAAAATAAACATGTGCAAATGCACTATAATTACTTTAGAGATAACTGATAAAGGAGAAAAAAATGTTAGAACGTGTTCAAATTGAACCTAACTTGACTGGTTCGTTCGTTAAACCATTATGCATAGCTAAGCACAATAGTCATTTTGGGAAAATGGATATTAGATACATTGGTGATTGACTCTAGTTCAAGTGGGAGATTGTTGGTATATGTGTCCTAGAGATAATCTTTTTTGAGGACATATATACATGATCACATTAATATTATATTTGATTATAATTATGATATTGCAATTAATTAAATAACTATTGGGTTGTGTGCAATTGATTAATTCGTTGTTGCCTTGAGTTACTGTCATTAATAGAGTAAGACGCAAATTGATAAATTACAAATTGCCTCAATAAATAATCATTATGAAAGGGATATTAATTATATGCGCGCTAGATTGACATGTGATCTGCATCACATTCTTGGAGAATAAAGTATATCTCACAATTATGAATATTGGTTATTAGTGATTGACACATGGATACTTTAGAGAGTATTGGTACACCCTACCGAGAAACCATTTGTTTATGTGTCTATTGAAGTATCGATGTGTGTAATGGTGTAGTAGTCATTTGACTTGAGGTCAATACACAATTCATGTATAGAGTGATCTACTTAGACCTAGTCCAATTCTTACGCTCCTTATGGGGTAGATATGGGCTTATGTTGGGGTGATCACGGTATACATGAAATTGATAGTTGAGCCAAGATTAGGTTTCATTCCTCGAATATAGTTTTGAGAGAACACTCATTTTTTCTATACTGGAGACACAAGTCTTAAGCTTAATCGAGTCATGAATGAAGGAACCGTATTACCATTGAGTTCTGCACTGAAGGTTTTTTTGTTTTGTACAAGTAAACGTACTTCATATTTTGAGTTCGTCTTTCAACACAGTCTAGGAGTTTCGTAAGGATAATAAATTAGATTTATGTCAATATATGAAGGCCTATAGGGTCACACCGTTTGTCCCATTTTTGGGTCTTTATTTCGTGCGTGTTTTGCTTTTCTTTTTCCCCCATTTTAGGCAGTTTCTTTCGTTTTAGTCCGTTTCGTGTTTTATTATGTGTTTTTCTTCATTTTGAGTCTTCAGGTGTTTTTNAATCCTAAGCTTAATCGAGTGGTCGTGAATGAAGGGACCGTATCACTATTGAATTCTACACCAAAGGTTTGTTTGCTTTGTCTATGTACACGTACTTCATATTTTGAGTTCGTCCTTCGACGCAGTCTAGGAGTTTCGTGAGGATCATAAATCGGATTTATGTCAATATATGAAGGCCTATAGGGTCACACAATATGCAATCCATTTTCCGTCTAAGAGTGAATCGAGAGTGTTAAATATTCAATTAGATTAGAATATTTAATTTTAATAATTAGATTATTTTCTATAAGTTTTAATTGGACTTAGACTTAATTATATCATTAATTGGATTAGGTCCAATTGCCTATTGGGCTATAGGTTATCCTAAAGCCCATATAATTAGGTTTAGCCTAATTATAAATAGGCGGTTATCTCATATCAGATGTAGGAGATCAGATAATTGAGATACGCCGTAAAAACACAAAAACCTCTCTTTGCTTTCTGATTGAGGATTTCTAGCGTCTTCACCGGAAAGGATTCACTGCGTTGGATCTGCATCGGGATCTGGATTGCGTGGATACCATAGTTGAAGACAAAGCTTAANTTTCGACTAAGAGTGAATCGAGAGTTTTAAATATTCGATTAGATTGGAATATTTATTTATGAGTAATGAGATTATTTTCTATTTGATAGAAAATATTTAATTAAATTAAATTAGATTTATACTTAATTAGTAATGAGATAATTTTCTATTTGATGGAAAATGATTAATTAAGTTAAATTAGATTTATATTTAATTAAAATATTAATTGGATTAGATCTAATTACCTATTGGGCTGTAGGGTATCCTAAGGCCCATATAATTAGGTTTTGACCTAATTATAAATATCTCATTATCTCTTCATAATCAATTATCGTTGGATCGATAAGAGAGATCCCAAAGGGAAACTGGATTGCGTGGATACCATAGTCGAGGACAAACGACGAATAACTGTAAGTTTTCGTGTATCATTCACGTGATCTAGGATCATATCGAATAGCTATAGCCGGATCTTCGTTGTTGGTAAGAAAATTTTAAAATTCTGCTGCGCGTGCGATTGATTCGTACGACTGAAATCCAACAAATCTGTTCTCAAATTATATCCGAAAAACCAACTGAAATGTAAAATCACATGAACAAACACATCGTTCTACCATTTCTCTCTCGAGTTTATCTAGGAAATTCGAGAATCTTACAGCTTCTTCTTCATTGTCCAGCGTCATTTTCTCCGTCTTCATCCTCACTCATCACAACCTTCTCGCTCTTTTTCTCTGCTCTTCTCTTCTCTCTCTTTTTCTCTCTTTTCTCTTTTCTGTTGGGGGAGTGAGAGAAATGCGTGCAGTCGTGCAGATATACATATATATATATATATACATACATGTCTCTCGGCGGGAAAGAAAAACGCGACCACGAAAGTGGCAGGAGACTGTAAATTCAGTTTTCACGACACCGTTTTGAGGGCTTGTAAATAAGACAAAAATTAATATCTATAAATCTCTATATATGTGTATGTATATAAATCTCTATANTTCGGTTTTCTTCGTGTTTTGTCGTTTTTTTTGTGTGTAGGTCGGGAGCTTAGGGCGAATTTTATCAACAGAAAAAATTTATTTCGAGAGCATAATTGAATAGAGGGTTCCGTTAGCGACGCGAAGGAAAAAATAGAACTCAATTCCGAGTTCGGACGAGCCCAAACGAGCCCGAAACGTAAAATGGCGCAGTGCAGTCCAAAGTCGAGACTCGTGACTTTAACAGAGCCTCCCAGCAGCCCAGCAACCCGGCCAACTCGCGACACGCGAGTCGCGACCCCATTGACCCTACTTTTATTTTTGCTCGTTTTTCGCGTTTTTGGTTCGTTTTTCGAGCTCTATATATTGAAACGACCCTCCAGACTTAAGGAATAATCCTATTATCGTTCCTTTTAGTTTTTCTCTCCAAAAACTCAATATTGTTAGGATAATTTTCTCCACTTTTCTTTTTTTGTTTTTCTCCCATGCTTGGATTGTTAGACACAAAGACATTTGGATTGAAATCTTGCAACTCCTAATCCGATTGTAAGTTTTTCAATTCTATTTTATTATTGTAGATTGGTTTTATGTTCTTAAATCCGGTTAACATGAAATTGAATCAATAATGAGGTAATTCATTCACCTAGGGTTAGAGATTTTGATTCTTGTTTTAAATTGTGGGGAATGTGTTTTGTTCAATCTATGCGAGTTGTGTGAATTATAGGGTAAGTTGATTGATCGTCATTCTAACTTAGTTAATCGACGTTTAGAACCGAGAGGGGAGACGTCGGTCGATTTAGGCTCGTACTCGTAAAAGTATTGTCTATGTGATGCTTATTTGAATGAGTTTATCGTTTATGTATGTGCTCTTGTTACGAAGAGTTATTGAGCATAACCCTCTAGACGTATAGGCTTGTTAAATCGTAACCGAACAAATAAGCGTTCTACGTAGTTTAGAACTGATGAGATTTCCCGAGCCCTAGAACTTCTTTTTTTTTTCTCTAGAAATTTAATTGTTATTTCTTTAAATTGCTTTCCTAGTTCTAGCTTGTATTAGTTAATTCCCCAAATCAATCGTGATTAGAGTGTTTAGGACTTATTTTCTTTTCGTGTGTGATCAATACCAACGCTAAATTCCGAACTGTTTTCCTCGAGAGATCGACCTAGGAAACAAATCTTGTGATTTGGTACCCGGTAATAAAATAATTTGCTACAACACAAATAATATGCAATCTGTTTTTCGACGAAGAGTAAATCGAGAGTGTTAAGTATTCAATTAGATTGAAATACTTATTTATGAGTAATGAGATTGTTTTCTATTCGATAAAAAATACTTAATTATGTTAAACTGGATTTAGACTTAATTAAATTGTTATTGGATTAGGTCCAATTGCTATTGGGCCATAGGATCTCCTACGGCCCATATAATTAGGTTTGACCTAATTATAAATACCTCATTATCTCTTCACACTCTTTGATAAATAAGAAATGAGTGAGAGACGAGATATCACAAAATCTTAGGGACTGAGAGATCAAGATCGAGAGATAAACACTCTTCGACTTTCTAGATCCAGGATTCTTAGCTTCTTCCTCAGATCCGGTTCATTGGCGTTATGTCGTGCATCAAAGAATTAGTTGCGTGGATACCATAGTTGAGGATAAACCTTACGACCAACTTTATGTTTTTCGTTTATCATTCACGCGATCTAGGTCATATCAAATAGATATAATCAGATCTTCGTTGTTGGTAAGAATATTTTAAAATTTCATTGCACGTGCGCTAAGTTGGCACGTATAAAAACCAATAGTACGATGCAAATGATGATCTTGTATTCTATCTTTGTACAACTTTAGACAGGTCCTATATATAGGACTTCCGATTCAGATAGGAAATGACACTAGACACCGACCACTTAAGACAGGTAACAACCCACTTAAGGTTGTTCTAATGGGCCTAAAACGGTCCGGAGTTAAGTCTGTCGTTTTCAAGTGTTAACACGCCACTACTCTACCTAATGACCTTTCAAAACAGTCAAGTGAAGTCAACATGTCCAAACGGATTGGGTCAAAACTCGCGTCCAAACCCAACTCAGTTTGGATTTTATTTTGGGCCACATCTTTGCAAATAAATTTGCTGAAAAAAAAAATTATAGGAGCTGGGCCCAAGGCCCAAGCCCAACACCGTACAAGGCCGCACGCAGTCTAATTGTCGAGGACCAAGGTCCAAAGCCAAGCCGAGACGACCGACGAGCAAGCGTGCACGTGTAGCCAAAGCCATCACCAACACTTGGCGCATAACTTTGTTATTTTTGTGACATCTCCAACTTCTTTACTATAATAAAAAAAAGTTATTCTCATTTAAGAGTCCAATGCGGTAACATTTTAAGTACCCATTAATTGGTAACTGAAATAATTGGTTTCTTACTCACTAGTTTTGAGAAAATAAATATACTATGAGTAACTACTCAGAACGAAATTTTTTCTGACACAAGTAATTTATAATTAAAAAAAAAATAGCTTACAAGTATGATTATGACAAAATATGTCATAAAGTATCTTCTTTATTCAATATGAGTAAACAGTAAATAATCACAATCACCATGTTATTTTTTTTATCAATTGTAAATAGTACAAGTGAAAATCCGAGGTGGTTATAACTTTGATTCGCAGAAGATAACTTTTGCTTGGGAATAGACTGTTCTCGCATCATCTGCACATAAGAAAAACACTGAATCACTACCGTGTGCCATGCTTTAAGGAAGAAAACTAAAATAAAATTAAAAAGAGGCAAAAGGAAAGAAACAAAGACACTTTCAATATATTTTTACATTATACTAGCTACTGATACATAAATCTCCAAATTCTACCGAGTAGAGCACGATATCATAAAGCTGCTTACATTTCAAAACTGCAAAAACACCCCAGGAGGAAAGTGCACAAACAGCTAAACAAATGAGTAAACAAAAATATGATATAAAACACCATTAACTATAACACCCAGAACATAAATTATTAAAAAAAGGAGAACGAGGCTCACAAATATATAAAAATATATTTTCACAAATATAAGCAGAAAATGCAAACACAACACACCTGCAATTCTGTCAAATTCATACTCAATTGGGACATTGTTTTCATTTTCAATTGCCCCTTTAGCTGCTGCTATTCCAACTGCCACACTCTGCATTATATCCAAACCCGAACACAGCGAAGCTAGTGTACCGCCAGCCAAGCAATCACCAGCACCCGTAAGCCTAACTACTGNTACAGCTATATTATGGCTCCCTTTCGACTCAAGGGTGCCTAATATCTTATTGGCAGGGCAAGTTAAATTTATAGCTTCGTATAATTTTATACTAAAAGAAAATGGTTCATTTTTCTTGCAATCTTGTTTCTTCAGTCCGCTAGTTGTTTTGAAGCACAAGAATACACCTTGTGGTCCGAGGGTCACAATTACTACTTTAACACCTTTCTCAAGCAGAACCCATACTGGAGGCTTTAGAACTTGAAATAATGAGCCAATAGATGAGTCAAAACTATTTGAATCTCTTTGAATTGGTAAGAAATTATTTCGAGAAGAAAGGGCATTTGCCATGGCTACAAGCTCGTCCTCATTAGGTGAGGTATAAGTTATCTGTGGAAAAACAATTCGCATAGTTACAAAAATTACTACTGAAGTTTGACATGATTTAAGAAAAAAACATGTGTTTTTTTCAGAATTAAAAATATAATCCTTGAATATACAGACACCCCTTGAAGTTGCATTCACTTAACACTATCCATTCACCAAGAAGGAAATTTGCACAATTGT